TGCCCAGCTGGTGGGTTCAGAGGGCCTGGGCTCAGGGGACTGGCTGGTACATCAGATATGCTCCATCTTTGCCAGACCTGCTTCAAAGGCCTCAGGCTGAGAAGACGGGGGCCAGCACTCTGTACAGTCCTCTGGGAGGCCACAGTCTATCCTTGCAGGAGTTCAGCAGCATTTAGGCTCCACCCACTTCCACCTACGGTGACAAGCAAAAGTGTTACCAAACTGTCACAAGTCCTTTGGGGGCAAAACTGCCTTCAGTTAAGAGCTATCCCGTGGAGCACAAGACACAGGGGGACAGCCAGGTGATGGGCCTGTGTGCAGGACAGCACTACCACTGGGGTTCAGATTCCGTACCAAGCAGACACTTTGTAACTGACTATGGAGTCCTGGAGAGAGGCACAGGGCCCTCCTGGGGCTCAGCCAGAGACCAGGCATGCTAAGGGCGGACCCAGGCTCAACAAACACGCAGGGGTACAATCCGTGCTAGTTTGAGAAACAACTTTAGTGTGTGCTCCAGCACTGGGCCTCCAGCGGGGAGCACGGCTTTCCCCAAGCCAGCTGAGGGCGCCCGGGCCCCAGTGCACAGAACCCCCTGGCAGAGGAAGCCAACGGGCACGACCTCACTCCTCCTTCCTCCGCAGCTTCTCTTTTCTTTTCTCTTGCAAGTTCTTCAGGTCAGTCATCACGTTCAAAGTCTTGCGTACCCACAAAATCTACAACAATCATTTTAGGACATGTTCAGAATTGGGAAAAAGGCCTGAAGAAAACCAGGACTTAAAAGTCTAAAGCTACATACCACAATGATCATGGCGTTGAGCAGCAGTGGTGCTGAGAACACAACAGAAATGAACATCCCCCTGGAGTCAAAATACTGGTATTTTGAAAACAACCTGTTAAAAAAAAAAAAAAAAAAACAGCAAATAACTTGGCATCGCCACAGGGCTCTTTATGGGAGATGATGATGGGGGAAAAGAGCCAAAAGATACTTCAAGGCTCAAAAACCTGCCCAGCAGGAGTTCCGGGCCCACTGCAGGCGGGGCACCACTGCGGGTCTGCTAATGACCTCAAGTCCTGGAGCTACGCAGCAGCAGCCTCCGTGCTCTGCACCAACGACAGGCATGGCTTCACAGCCAGCCTCTGCTCTTAAGGACCGCTGAGCTGGGAACGCCCTGCGCTGAGACTCGCAGCCTCCTTAGGAGGCTCCTGCAGGACCCATCTTTTTTCAATTCTGTAACTGAAATTAAAGTAGCCCATGAATTTCCCTCACTGTTATTAAGGATCAACCAACAGGTACAGTGGCATGGTTCAGTCACCAAAGGTAACGCGGTTCGTGAAACATTTAACCAGCTGCCTCTCAGGGTGCGGCACACTCCTGCTTCCTGCTGTCTCCCATAAGTCTGACGCTCACAGGAAGTGCTGCCTGTGAACAGCAGGGTGGCTGACTCCTGAGACTCAGCGAGACAGGCAGGAGCCGACTTTACCTCCAGTTCATTGCGGCCACTTCATTGATGTACTCAGCACAATAGACCAGGACCACTGAGAAGACAGAAATCACATTAGAATGGAGATGGCCAGGGTCAGCACAGCACTCTACACCAGGACACTGACACAATGAAGAGAAATGCAATTTCTGTTTTGGCTACAATTAAATTGTGAATGTAGAACGTGCTCCCTGACCTAAGGTGTCAGTGGGCTAGATGGGACCCGTGGGACTGCTGGAGGCCCAGGTTGGAGTGCCCAGTGCCCACTACGAGGCATAGCTATGCTGAGATGGCATCTCCTCAGGATTCCAGCCGCAGATTCCACCTGGCTCCTGGACACCCTGCAGTGGGATCATAAGCAAGACTCCTCACCTGGTGCCTAAACTGCTTCCCTGCCTCATGAGGTTCAGGCCGTCCAGGTGAGACTGCTATGATACATCCCTACCTTCAAGGAGCCAGGTGGTGCAGCCATGGGGGCTGCTGACCAGGGGCTGCATGGCCTCTCAGCCCTCCAGCCTCCCAAAGACCATGGCATTCCTGGAGCATAGAACACAACTGTCCAGGCCTCCTGCTAGTGTAGGGTGAGGCCTGTGTCCACGCAGGCCAGAGAGAGAGTGTGTGAGGGACTAGAGCAAACTCAGCAACTCCAAGCCTTCACTGTCAGCCAAACCTTTGTGAGCCAAATCAGAAAGTGGGTTAGCCCAGGGCTATCTACCTCCTCACATCCTGCCTGACAGGTAGACCCATGAAGGCAAACAGAATGCAGAGCCAGAGAGGCCAAGAGCTGGCTCGGAGCCTGGCCTCCTCCCTGCTGCTGATGCACTGCACAACTAGGGGAGTCTCTGAATCTCAGTGTGTTTCATCTGTAAGAAGGTGGCAAACAATACCCAACCCTTAGTAGGGCAGCTTAGGGATTCAATGAGTCAGAGGACATGAAGAGCACATGGAACAATGTGACCACAGTCACATCCCAACCCCACACTGTTCATAAGTTTCAAACTGCTCCATGGGTTAGCTCTCCTAGGAGGCTGCCCTTCTTCAAGGCACCTGCTGTACGAACTTCCCACCTTGCCCTCTGCAGGGAGCTCCCCTGGCCCCCTGCCTGGCTCTGCCACCTCTTCCTACCCTGACCTCTCCTGGGAGCTCCCCTGGCCCCCTGCCTGGCTCCTGCCACCTCAGTCTGGCATCACACACCTTCCTTTGCTCTGGCCTTTCCCATCAGAAGCTCAGCATGTGGTAACAGTGCAACGAGGCCTGTGAGTATGTGCTGAAGCAGTTGTCCTCTGGGAAGTTGCATTAAGACAGGAGGCTATTTTGTTGCCCACTGTATCCCTGCCCTTCCTTAGGGCTTGACCTGGTAGAAGCTCTCCTGTGGAGAACTGGACCTAACAAGGCAGATCACCTTGACTTTACAGACCCACTTTTCTATAATGCAAGCTCTGATCGTTTCACTCCAGTCTTCCTAAGGCAACCTGGTGTTCAGATTTCCTACCTTGCACAGAGCTTCTCTCAAAGTAGCTGATATGTTTTAATTACTTCGCAGAATCTTCACTATCTTTTGGGAGCAGGGGTGGTACAGGTGATTGAACTCAGGGGACCTTGACCACTGAGTCACATCCCCAGGCTTTTTTGAGACAGGGTCTCGCTGAGTTGCTTAGTGTCTCACTTTTGTTGTGGCTGGTTTTGAACTTGCAATCCTCCTGCCTCAGTCTCCCGAGCTGCTGGGATTACAGGCGTGTGCCACTGGGCCCAGCTCTTTGCTGTCTTTCTAATGTCTACAAAATCAAGAAGGGTCTGGTCAGGCTCAGAGGCTCTCCCCCACAGTGTTAGCCAGAACCCCTTATGCCTCAGAGGGGGCATCAGAATGCTCAGCCCGGCAGGCTATAGTTTCTCTGACCTCTGATCCATACTCCCTACCCAACTCCAGCCTCTAGACTGGAATCTGTCTTCCTTCCCTCATTTGGATGCTCACACCCTCTCGCCTGGGCCAGCTGGCTGCTCTTTATCTTTTCTTACTCCACCTTACCTGCTCTTCCCACCCTGACCATGATTTTGCTTGCTCCATTAAATTTCTGTCAATCTTTTCATGAAGCTACATCCCTTCTCTAAATTCCTTAGCCCTTACTTTTTTAAAAAACTCATCTTGGCAATATAATTTCAACACATAAACTTTCTTTCTTAGTTTACATCCTTTCTCCAGAGCAAGCAGTGCAGGACTGAGCCCAAGCAGGGAAATGTCTGCTTTAAAAATAGCCAGATTTCATTACACTTAAGAAGTCTTTGTAACCATCGGAATTCAGCACCCTCCTGGCACAGGGGAGGTGCTCCAAAGGTTCCTTTCAAATTCACACAGAATGACTCTTGGAAGGTATGGGAGGGACTGTGAAAATATTTACATATTTTGGAGATGGCATGCTGGCATCAGGTCGCATTGCCATCAGAGCACAGGGATTTTGTTCTGTTCTACTCACCGAGACACAGGAAATGGCCAATCTGTAGCCGGTACCTCTGGGATGAGAAGCAAGTGAGAAGCAGGCACAGCACGTGGAAGACAGCCAGCCCCACCAGCCAGGGCTCACTCCAGTCTGTCTGCTGTGAGGATACGGCGGAGTTAGGCAGGGCAGGCTCAGTCCAGGATACAGCTTTCTCAGGGGCCCCGAGCACACAGTCAGCCCTCATGGGAAGGTGGGAGCAGGAAAAGGAAAGGGAGAGAAGTAGGAATCCTCTCCACTGTAACCACACCAAAGAGTTTTTAAAGATTTTATAGGCTGAGCACACAAAACAGAGGGCATCACCAACCTGCCTGTTTGGGTAAAGCAGTATTTTAAAGTTGGGTAAAATCTAAGCAATGAACACACCCTGAGATGACAAGGAGGTTGAGCAACTTCAAGGTGATGCACTTGGTTAATACCAAAGCCCCTTGGACTACTGCCTTAGCACCAATGCCCTGGGAGCCTGAGCCACCTAACCCGAATGACCTGACCTTCCCACCCTTTCTGCCATACGCCCAGCGCTCCTGGTCTCCACCACCAGGCTGGGAGCCTTCTGAGCCTGGACCCCAACCCCCAGGCCCAGCTCCCAGTACAGGATGCTGAGGCCTTCCTGTCCCCTCCTGGGTGAGGCAATCCCTGCTCCCAGGACCCTCAAGGACAGCTCTAAGTGTCCACACTGCTCTCAGGGAGGGAGTGAACACCCCTGACTTTTGGGTAGTAGAACACAGAGCAGCCTGTCCATAGCCTGGCAGGGAAGGAATCTCTCCCTGCCCAGGCCCCAAACCCGGGGCCACACCAGGAGCCAGAGACTCAGAGAGGCAGCCTGAGAGCAGCGCAGGAGGGAACCCAACCTGCGCAGCAGGCACTCGCCCGGGACCCAGCCCCGCCCCATGACTACAATCGCGCCCAGTTCCAGCCCCAGGGGCAGAGCCACGCCCCGTGACCGCGGTCCGGCCCAGGCCCCGCCTACCGCCGCCAAGCCCCGCCTACCGCCGCCAAGCCCCGCCCTCGCAGCGCGGTCCACGCCTCCCCCCCGCGCCCACACCGGTTCCTGCACCTCGGCGGCCGACCGTTACCGTGATCACCGCGGGGATGCTGACGGGGAAGGCGCTGACTGAAAAGGCCGACGGCATGGTGCCCACAAGGCCCGCCCTCGCCACAGCCGCCAAGCCGTTTCGCCCCGCCGGCTCCCCAGGAGGGACGCACTGTAGTCTCGCGAGATCGCCGCTGGTCGCGAGAATGGTCGTCTCGCGATACTGCCGCGCCCTCCAGGTCCCTCGCTCGCCGTCTTGTGCGGTGGCGCTGGTGGCGGTGCTCTGCCTGGGCTCCCGGGAGTTGCCCGCGGGCCGGGAACCGTCCAGCTCTGGGACCTGTACGGGATGCTGAGCCGTGGAGCTCGGGTCGGTACCGTAGCTTAGGGACGTCCAGACCTTGGGAACTCACTCCCTTGCTAAGGGCCGGGCGGGGCACGCGGTTGGGGACACCTGACTGGGACGCGCAGGTGAGCAGGTGAACTGAACTGCGTGTGACGACTGAGGACCCAGGCCCTGCTGGTGTCGTCCTACGCGGCTCACGCCCAGCGCCTTTCCGGGCGCACCTGAGCCGCTTCTCTGGAGGCTGAGTCGGTCCAGTCTCTCACCGTGGTGTGCAGTCCAGGCGGCCACCGTCCTGGGAGGACAGTCTCCTCCCACCCCGCAGCTGGGTAAGGAGGTAAAATGATGAAGATGGTGGGAACCCGAGGTTAAGAGAATAATTCTCTTAAATGAGCCCACTTTGCTGACCCCCCCCCATACTTTCTTTGCTAAAAATCAGTCTGCCTGCAGCCCCGCATGGCCCGAGCGCACAGGATGTCACGTTCCGTAGCAAAGGTCAGGCAGTCAGTGTGGGTGATGAATGATGGGGGTGGAAAGAGGATGAGGTCTGGTTATCAAACAGAAGACAAGGTGTTGTTGACCTCTACAATCTAATTGTGCTTCTGGGCACTCTGGGTTGCAAACACTTGACCCCCTTATCCTTGCTCTAAGGTATGTACAAGGAAAAGAAAGAGAAGACAATACTTAAAAGAGGATTCTAGGATCTATAAAAGAGCAACACACCTCTCTGGCAGGCACCCAGCTTTGGGGCCACTTCTGTCGCTATCACTTTCTTAAATAAACTTGCTTTCTATGCCTGCCTCAGTGTTTCGCTATTATTTAATCTTCAGCACCAAGGAACAAGGATCCATTCCTTATCTGCAAGACCTATGTCAGCTGTACCCATCTAACTGCCTCCCCCCTTACAGGGAGCACCCAGACTCATGCTGTGGCCACCCTTGCTCCTTGTGGGCATTGGGATTGAGTGCCTTGTCCTTGTTCATCTAAGGAACATGCTCCCAGACATTAAGTGGAGCGGTGTCTCTCCCTCTACACACCATCTGCCAGCCTGAGCTGGGCCACCACTCACCAAGTGTTCCATCAAGCATGAGGGTGTCCACGTGGCTGTGATCTTGTCTCTGAGTTCTAAAAGGTTTCTGCAACCCACTGGTTCCCAATAGTCCTCCCTGCCCCTTGGCAGCAGGAAGTGCACCGTGGTACCCTGACTCTGAGCCGTGGAGCTGGTGACCCTGGTGCACTGGCACCTGGGAGATGGTTGGTGCATCTTGTGAAGGGTTTACAGGACCTGTAGCTTACCTGTGCTTCCTCAGGGATTTGTGTCCCATGGATCAGTTCAGGGGAGGCATGGATCCCACCATGTCCAGACCTGGCTCTCCACATCTTGGCTCAGGACTCTAGTTCCAGCAGTGCCCAGGGGGTGCTGCCCAGAGGCTTCAGCCCAAACACAAGTGTTGTGCAAATGTTGTGTGATCCTGTTGTGCATGGCAGATCACTGAGGGCCAGGCTCCAGTGCCTCAGAGCCTGGCAGGGATGACCCTCTGCCCAGACCCACGACACTGTGGTTCTTCATTCCCTTTGAACTTTCAGGCTTAGCAGCAGCACCAGCCAAAACATCAAGTCCACCTGCTGGGATCCTGACCTGGGCAGACTCTGGATTCCTGGTTCCGTTCACCTTGCCTCTGGCTGTGTGATCTTGGCCTGACCTGAACTTTAGGTCTTGCAGATTCTGCAGTGCAGCTAGCAATAACACATTTGAGAGTTGTGCTCATTCTATTCAGCTTTCTGTAGGAGAAACAAAACAGGCTTGCACAACTTCACTGACCAGGTAGGGGCTCCTGGAAAAAGGACAGCCTTCTCTTCTGTTGGCTGACCACCACCTTCCTGCAGCTCTGACCCCTGCCACCTGCTCTGGTCCTCCCCCTTGCTGCTGCCTTGTCTTCTTGTTTCTACTCCTGGGCCTGCTTGTAGCTGAAACATTCAGCAACAGTATCCCTCCACCAGATCCTCAGCTGTTTGTCCTTATACAGGGGAGAAGGGACAGATGGCTCCCATCCATGGTTTCTCAAGAGGGGGCAGGGTGGGGGGGGTGGATGACACTTCTGCCTCAGAGATCATGACACACACACCCACCTTCTTTCCAGTTCCCTTCTGCCTTTGTCATTTCTCAGGGATTGTGTCATTTTACTTTCTGTGGTCCTGCCACAGTGACTGTCCCCCGTCCCCCGTAATCTGAGCGCTGCTTCCTTTCTGTGATACCCCCACCTCACTCTTAGGCACAGTGTTGTCTTGGCTCAGACTCACACCCAGTTCCCTAAACCACAGTCAACAATCCAGAAATATAATTCTGCATGTTGATCTGCTGTGCTGCATTAAACACCAGGTGGGCATGCTGGCCTTACCACTGCAAGGAACCAGGTGGACCACCTCCACCTGGCCCCTCTGGCCCAGCCTCAAGGTTAACGCAGGGCCTGGAGAGAGATCCTGGTCCGGGAGGAAAGCCTTGAGGGTGTGCTGGGCCAGGCAACAGGGCTACCCTGCTCTTTGGCCTGGCCGTACCTGCCACCTAATAGGCTGTCCCCCTCAGCCTCCCTGATGTTTGAGAAGCGGGGAATTAATTCACATGTTTATAGTTCCAGAAGTGAAAGATTTTAGTTTATGCCCAGTAAATTTTTCTGGAATTGGGAATAGACCAATCTGTTATTTTCTACTCTCTTTGCATAAATTGACTTTAGAAAACTAGTAGTTTTTAGAAGTGCTTGTGAAGATCTATAATTATGGATAACAAAATGTTTACAGAGAAAATCTAAGGAATGAATTCTCACACCTTCACCTTAAGTTCTCAGTCCTAAGTTCAGGATGTTTTCCTGCCTCAGTGCTTCTGGAGGAGGTCAGGAAGCAGTTGCCTTGGTCAAGTTTGTTCTGTTCTGGTCTCCTCAGGTGCATTCTTGTGGCCCTAGCACTTCCAACAGGCATGTGGAAGAACGCAGTGGTGACTCGTGAAGAGGTGGACAGCTTGCTCATGCAGCAGAATGAGGCTCCTCCAACCCCCTTTCTGGGACTGCACCCAAGCCGCTCTCACTGGAACTCCCTTCATTAGAAGGCAAGGAGGGTAGGAGAAGCCCTTGCAGCTACAGTCTTCACCCAGGGAGCCCTGGTGTGATGGGGTCAGGGTTTTCCAGAACATGTGAGAGGCCGGTGCTGGCAGGTGCACTGGGAACGGAAGCCATGTGCTCGGTCCCAGGGACTTTCTGCAGAAACCCTTCAAGCCTACCTTCCTCCAGCAGGCAACGAGCCCAATTGTGCTTGGCATCTGGAGATTTTTCTCTTTGCTTGATTGTGTTGTCCCAAAGCAGATGAAGCGCTTGAGGTGCTTGGGGAGTGGGGCACACCAGTGTGGTGTGGGGTACTTTCTGCATTTCTAGCAGGAAAACCTTGAGAAGCCAGCACCCCACCCTCGAGCTCTGTTGGTGCTGGGCCTGAACCCCTCGTTGAATGTGAGCCTCCACCTCCCACTCTGGACCTTCTGAGATCCCCTGGTGTGTCCATTTCCTCTCGGACACATTCCAGTTGTATTGAGGTCCATACATTTCCCAGGATAGCCAGCAGGTTGCACTGCTGAGACATTTGTCCCTATCCCTCATAGGAGGCTGCTTGCTGAAGAGTGGGCCGCACTGGAAGGCGCTGGGGAGCACAGCCTTCATTAAATGTGGCTTCCACCTGCAACAGCAGCTTGAGTGTGAGAGGAGGCTCCCAGCACCTCAAGCGTGCAGGGCCCTTCTGCAGAGAGTGGAAATCCTCAGGGGCACATTGGAGGAGGAGGACAGCATTGGCTGCAGGCTCCTGGGAATGGGAGGAAGAAAGATGAAAGTGTCCCGTGAGCACAGGAAATGAGTGTTGAGCTGCAGTGGCCTGGAGCTCCCACCAGCTCCTCAGAGGATGCCCAGGTGGAAGCCCACACCACCACCTTCCCTGGACACATCTCCTTGGCCACACGTTCCAGGCTGGGAAGCACAGCCTTCCCAGACAGAGACAGGGATGAGTCATCGTTCCTGATTTCTCTCAGTGGCCAGCGTATTCTGTTCTGTATCGCAACTAGTGACAGACTGTCTCACTGTCTCCAAGGAATTCAAATTAAACTTTACTGCAGCAACAATGGAAATGAAATATTTCAATAAATAAAAGTAGCAAATTCATCAAGGTGAAATCCAACCAACAAAATTGTAGGTTACTGTCTTATATACTCTTTATTTTATTGATGTACCAAGGATTGAACCCAGTGCCTTTACAGGTGCGCTCTACCACTGAGCCACAGCCCTAGCCGCCCATTAAACATCAAAGAACCACGAAGATGTCTTTTTCTCTAATAATTGCAAATTTATCCATTGAAACATAACTCAAACTTTAAACTCCACCTCTCAAGGCTGTGGTGGGGCTGCAGGCCTGTGGCACCCACCCCCAACCCTTCCCCGGGTGCTCTGCTCACAGCACGGAAGCTGGGCAATTCATAGTGGGGTTGACAGCTTTACTGAGTGCATAACTGAAAGTCTATTTTATATTTGAAAATGAAAAAGAAGTTCATGTAATTTGGTTGGGGACCTCTTTTTGCACCTGTCCTTTTTTGTTATTGTTTGTTTTTGGTTTTGGTGCCAGGGATTAAACTCAGGGGCACTCGACCACTGAGCCATATCCCCAGCCCTCTTTTGTATTTTATTTAGAGACAGGGTCTCACTGAGTTGCTTAGTGTCTTCCCGTTGCTGAGGCTGGCTTTTAACTTGCAATTCTCCTATCTCAGCCTCCCAAGCCTCTGGGATTACAGGTATGTGCCACTGCACCCTGCTACCTGTCCTGGTCCCAAACAT